CTTTATTTTTTACTGTTTTTATTTGTTATTTTTATATAGAAGCATTCACTTTTAGTTTTGGTTGATCAGTACTTATATAATATTCAGTATAATGTAATGTAGGACCGCCCAGAAGATAATAAGGGCCGGAGACAAAATTTATATTAACAAATTAGATCATTATATTAAGGAAATAAGCGAAAAAAAAAACATTGTAAATGAGCCCGGAATTCCGTGTATGTCGGAACGTTTCATGTTCTGATACGTAACTTTTGAGCTAAACACTTTTGATATAGTGTATGTATTATATTAGAGATAATATATTATTAGTGACATAAACATTAAAGGTCTAAAGTCAGAGCTTAAGTATGGGGGTTACCACTGGTACCGTTTACTAAGAATCGAAATTTGGATCTAAATCAAGAAAACCAAACTATCAGGGGGGAAAATAATAATAATAATGCAGAAATTACATATGTTTCTTAATAAAAATTTATATTAGGATCCAAAAAAACACACATTTTCTGTTTTATTAGTAAGGATCTAGTAGTCTCTTGCAAGCATTCATAGAGAGATGATTACAATACGCTTGCAAAGTGAACGTTTTAATAAATTTTATACTTTTATTAATTAATAATTGTTAAATATTTACATTCTTAACGAATTCTAATGAATATTATTATTAGAATATGAAAAAAAGTTTGTATATTCCAAGCGTATTGACATGAATAATTACAAGAGTAATGAATAGAAACTCGTTCCCATACTTCGCAACGATAACATAAGTTTGTATTCAACACGAACTGTTATATTCGTAGAATTCGCTGATTGCTAACAAGCTTATAATAGCGTATATTAACCCTGAAATATATCCAGATGTCCATGTAAGAATCAACCACATGTTTTCTTGTAATTCAATACATAAAGTGTAGAATATAGAATGAAAAAGATATTTTTTAAACTAACAATTATGGTATAAATATTTGATAAACTATATGTCAAATACCTTTATGCCTAACAGAATTCAAAAAATATTTTTCAGGTGAACAGTTCAAGAGATAATTACAGTTTAGAATGATTTTAGCGTAGGCGTTGTACTTGAAGATACTATATATCATATATTGTTACACGTGGTAATCATCAACCGTGATATATATATATATATATATATTTATTCTTTATTTCTGTTTATGCACTCGATTTCTTAGTAATAATTTAAACGATTAAAATTGTTTTAATTATTAAAATATTATGATTTTTGATCATTTTATAAGCGAATGCGGAAATTATTTCGGATATAAAGAGTGCTAAGAAGGTCATAGTTCAACCCTTTTCCTTAATAGCTTCTTATTATCTTAAGCTCGCATCTTCATACTTGACCCAAGTTCAGAGGTTAAGATAACAGTTGAAGGGTGGAGGTTCTGGATTATGTCGGTATTTCTTTGTCTGTTTTGTATCACTTTACAAAACGATTGTTTATAATTTAAATATTTATATATATGTATAAAAAACTTTGGCATCGAGTTACAAAGCTTTTAATAGATTTGATATATATATATATATATATAGGCTATATATTTTTTTCTATTATTTATCTTTTTATTTAGTACCTAATGAGTTAAAAAAAATGAAATTTGTTGTTTAAATCGGTTAAAATTTATATAACTAATTCAATTTTTTGTTATTAATTGTTATATGTTAATAAAAGTTTATTTTTAATAGAAAAATGCATCATAAATAGAGTTTCTGTTGAGCTTTAGAGGCCCTATTTATACTGTCTTTACCCTTTTTTAATATACTGGATGCCATAAGAAACACCTTTTGAAGCTTCTTGAGTATTATAAAGATTGTAACACGTTTTTTATAGCAATTAAAATGTCAAAATGTTAATTTGAAGCGTGGAAAAATATATCTTTCTATTTGTGAATTGAATTAAAAAGTAATCTTAGGCCTTTTTCTCTAGTATAAAATACTTTACCAATAAGTGCTTAATCATATTTACTTATAACTGAAGTTCACCAAAAAAAAAAAAAGAAAACTTTATTAAATCTTAATCTGATAAAAATTGTTCAATTTCTTATAAAAAAAGTTTACTTCAGTTCCTTAACTTCTGTTCAACTAATTCGAAGTAATTTTAGGTTTTTCGTTGAAGTTTTGTGAAGAACAATGTCTTGAGACCAAACAACATGTGTAGTTATTAGAGACAGGGCGAAATGTAGGAATTAAGGTTGCCCCAGGGTTTACAGCCATTTCTATGCGGTCCGGCACCTACAACTCTTCAGCAGATTCAAGATCCAATTAGAAGGACTGACAGACTAGGGGGCATTTGTCCTCTTTATTTACTCGGATTGACCTCTGCTGAGGTTAAAGATCTCACATAATACTGAAGAATTTCTGATCACTTCAAAGAATTAACAATGATCAATCTCTGCCTTGATTTGTAATTCTACGTTCTATCAACTGTACTCTTTAACACTAAGTAATAATAAGAATAAAACTGTAATAAACAAAAGAATAAAAATCTATTTATTCTTCTTGATAATTTATTATTAAAAATAAGTTATAGAAATATTTAAAAACGTGTATCGAAAATTACTATAACAAGCATTACTTAAGGAACTTTAAAAATTCTGTAGAGAGATTTAAAAAAAGAGAGAGAGAGGGTGAATATTTGACCTCGAGACTAATAAATTTTCACTAATCACATGAAATATTATTAATTCTAGTTACGGTTCAAGATTTAAATGGTTGATGTCGTATATATTTTTTAAATAAATAATTTGTATAAATAATTTGAGGGCCAGTAAATATGGGGTTTAGACTAAAATGGCCTTGTAAGATGGTCTAGATAGAGACATAGACATATTTTTAAATATTACATTAAGGTTATATTAATGTAATTAATACATTTCATTAATTAATTGAGATATTTCTAACATAAAATATATTATAGTTAAATTTTATACAGTACAGTATAATAATTTTTAAAAAGCTATTTGTATATAAAATTGTTTTTTTTAATTGATTCTACGCTAATGAATCTTGATTTATCGAAGGAATTCAGATGTATTTTATATAGAAATTTATATAGGAAACACTTTTATTTTAATTAAGATAATTTAATAAGCATTTAATAGGCCTGAGAGAGTTATAAGATAAGGCCTGAAGTAGTTATAAATGTTGCTCTTCATCCCCTCTAGAAACTTTAAAATAGATGAATAAAATAAATATCTTTTACCTTTCATTAAAAAGAACTTTAATTTCTATTAATTTCATACTTTTTTCTCTACAAAAACACTAAATTTTGGGATCTTTTATGTATTGAGGAGTGACTAATCTTTCTCTGTTTGGAGCCTAGCTACATATTTATTATATATTAAGCACGAAAAAAGTAAACGTTTATCCGTTTTGAAATGTTATCTTGTACAATTTTTGAATAATAAAATATCGATTATTTTATTGAAAAAAAGAGCTTTTATAGTTTTTAGTTTCAATTGCTGATAGAGCATTTTTAAACAATAAGATGTATTTTTTGTGTATGTAAAAATAAAAAAAAATATAACAATTCAAAGAATATTTATTCAAAATAAAGATTTCTTTATTTTTCTTAAACTAGTTTTATTTACAATAATTATAATAAAAATGATATTTGACACATTTCTGTACATTTAAGTAGAATAAAAGAAAATGCTCTTTCTTAATTTAAAAAAAAATCTCACAAATTATAAAGATTTTATGGAAAAAAATAATAATAATAATTCATGAAATTCTTTAAATAAAAATTAAAATATGAATTTAAACAACGATATAATTTTTAAATAAATAAAATTAAAGTTTTTGATTAAAATGGAAAAGATCTTCGTGCTCTTTGTTAAAGGACATCAGACACAAAGTTATATGTTTTGTAGAATCCCAGATTTAGAATCCAGAATTAACTAGAATCTTAGAATCTTGTACAGTATCAATTATAGTGTTACATGGGTTTTATATTACATTTAAAAAAAAAAGGCCTCTCAAGTCCATGTTTGGCTAAGGCCTTTCACAAAATAAAACTGCCATTGAGACATTTCAGCTGTGTAATTTAATTATTTGAATATATATATATTTTCTTTTAACTTGTTTTACTAAATCCTAAAACGTTCTTTTTTATAGGATCAACTTGAGGGAATGCCCTGAAAGCATAGGCACACTGTACTTTACAGACGTGATCGGATAGTATGGAATCTTTCGAAAAAGTGGAAGCCAAATGGAAACAATTATTCACTCGAAGCGATTGACAAATTGGCTAGAAAGAGAAGTAAAAATTATTATTATTAAGTTTTAAGAGAAATTATAATTATTAATTAATAAATAAATATCCAAACTAANGATAATTTAATAAGCATTTAATAGGCCTGAGAGAGTTATAAGATAAGGCCTGAAGTAGTTATAAATGTTGCTCTTCATCCCCTCTAGAAACTTTAAAATAGATGAATAAAATAAATATCTTTTACCTTTCATTAAAAAGAACTTTAATTTCTATTAATTTCATACTTTTTTCTCTACAAAAACACTAAATTTTGGGATCTTTTATGTATTGAGGAGTGACTAATCTTTCTCTGTTTGGAGCCTAGCTACATATTTATTATATATTAAGCACGAAAAAAGTAAACGTTTATCCGTTTTGAAATGTTATCTTGTACAATTTTTGAATAATAAAATATCGATTATTTTATTGAAAAAAAGAGCTTTTATAGTTTTTAGTTTCAATTGCTGATAGAGCATTTTTAAACAATAAGATGTATTTTTTGTGTATGTAAAAATAAAAAAAAATATAACAATTCAAAGAATATTTATTCAAAATAAAGATTTCTTTATTTTTCTTAAACTAGTTTTATTTACAATAATTATAATAAAAATGATATTTGACACATTTCTGTACATTTAAGTAGAATAAAAGAAAATGCTCTTTCTTAATTTAAAAAAAAATCTCACAAATTATAAAGATTTTATGGAAAAAAATAATAATAATAATTCATGAAATTCTTTAAATAAAAATTAAAATATGAATTTAAACAACGATATAATTTTTAAATAAATAAAATTAAAGTTTTTGATTAAAATGGAAAAGATCTTCGTGCTCTTTGTTAAAGGACATCAGACACAAAGTTATATGTTTTGTAGAATCCCAGATTTAGAATCCAGAATTAACTAGAATCTTAGAATCTTGTACAGTATCAATTATAGTGTTACATGGGTTTTATATTACATTTAAAAAAAAAAGGCCTCTCAAGTCCATGTTTGGCTAAGGCCTTTCACAAAATAAAACTGCCATTGAGACATTTCAGCTGTGTAATTTAATTATTTGAATATATATATATTTTCTTTTAACTTGTTTTACTAAATCCTAAAACGTTCTTTTTTATAGGATCAACTTGAGGGAATGCCCTGAAAGCATAGGCACACTGTACTTTACAGACGTGATCGGATAGTATGGAATCTTTCGAAAAAGTGGAAGCCAAATGGAAACAATTATTCACTCGAAGCGATTGACAAATTGGCTAGAAAGAGAAGTAAAAATTATTATTATTAAGTTTTAAGAGAAATTATAATTATTAATTAATAAATAAATATCCAAACTAACCCCTTCTTTTGTACAGGTACACATGACGCAAGGAGATATCCTCTCTGCAGATCCAACATCGATGGTTACATCCCCAACCGTGCATGATATTCTCTCCTTCCATTGTTCTAAGTCTATACTCGGTAGAGATTTGCAAGGCACTCGAGGATTCCTTAAATTAATCGAAAGAAAATTTAGAATTTGAATGAAGAATCTATTATATCTTTGGAGATTAAGGTATACTTACATAAAAGAATCCGTAAGATCAAATACGTTACGTTGAATAGATTCAATTGTATCTGAATTATCACAAATGATCCTACCCAAGTTTGCCTTACGAATTTCTGTTAATTGAGCTGAAAAAAAAACAGTACACATTTTAGTAATAATTTTAAGAATTTTAAAATTATTTTAAAGTTGTTTAATCATTTCCTCACCTTCAGTGAATCGAATTAGAGGATTGTCGGATTCGTACCAAAATCTATCACACTGACGCAACAAATGAAACTGCAAAGCAATAATGCAACCAAAAGTAGGACCTACTAATCCACCATGTAGGGGTTTCTCCACCAAACCACCAGGAAATAAATCAATATCATCCACACTCCTGAAAGGAAAATTAAGTTATAGAAAATAATATGATTTCGTAATGAATAGAAGGAAACACTTACTCATAAACAGCTTTCAATCTGTCAACAATATGAGGAGGTATTTCTTTGACTAGATCATCAAAGTTTCGAGCTTTAGTTAAATTGCAAAGTGCTCTATATTCATTGTACGAAGGAATACCATGATCTCGAGCTCTTTGAACATTTAACGCTGCTAAATCCATACCAGAAAATGGTATTCGATTGTCTTCAAATAAATGATTTGTCACTTCTTCTGTTATCGAGTTATCCAGATCTTCCATGCTGCTTGTTACCAGACCTCTCATAATGTGATCCATGGCATTGGCTATCAGAAAAACAAAGAAAAATTCAAGTTATCTAAATAGAAAACTATAGGCTTTTCGTGCATTTTAACCATTAATGATGACAATGGTTTACAGTTGTAGAAATAAACTGAAATTAGATGGGGTCTAGGTTCTTCAGAGTAGCAGGCTACTAATATAGTTGATCAGGGCACAAACTTTATTGAACCGGACACTTTGTACTGTATTCTTCCAATGACACTGAAAGGGCCTTTTTCCAAATCCATCATAGATTCGGCCATACTAGCCTGGTTAAAGTTGGAAAAAGTCCCCTTTATGCTTACAAGAATAATAATTTAAAAGATAAAATATCCCTTTATAAACAAATGAAATCTTTTATAAATAAAGCATTTAACTTACCAGAATACAACATGTCGGAATTAAAGAAACCTTTTCTGAGTTTCAGAGGATCATTTAACGATCTGTATCCACGATCTAGACGATCCAAATCGGGTTTAATGAGACTGTGACCGAATCTGAAAGCAGCAGCAGCGAACTCGTTGTATATAGTAGGATTGCAGTTTTCGTCATATCCATGATAATATCCCTCGGGTAAAGGATATAAGTGATTCTTATTAGCATAACTTCTTCCGAGCACTCTAGGTAGAAAGTCGTTGTAAGTGATGTGTTGCATGATGGCGGACATGATGCGCCTCCCTGTGGCGAAACCAAGAACTAATTACTCTAGGGAATAACTTCGTCATTAGACGGGGGTGGTGAGTTAATTAAGAGGAAAAACTTAATTAGTTGTCCCTAATTACGTCGTTTGGCTGAACGCTATTTATTTCACAGAGACGACTTGTTAAATATTTTAAAAGTCGAACGTGAGAATAGATAATTCTGTATTATGGTTGATGAGATGTCTCTAGTTGTTGGTGTCCCCTGTGAAGCTATCGCTAAAATGTTATAATGAAGTTATATGACATCATACAGGTAATGGTCGAGAGTGTAGCTTAAATAATTAGGTCTTTTTACAGCCTTTATCACTTAATTAAATCAGTAATTAAAAAGAATGTTTCCTCGACTGTGTAAAAACGTACTTATAGGACCCGAATATGCATCAAAGGTCATTGGCTTAAATAAGTTACAATTCCCAGCTGCTTTTGATAAATATTTCGAAAAATTAATTTTTTTTTACTCTTTCGGTTGATTTTCTACAAGGTTAAGTTGATTATATTTTATTTGTAAGATTTTCATAATTAATTGAATATTTTAAAAATTTTAATTTAATTTAATTTTTTTTCCTCCCTGTTTTAATGCGAAGCGTAACAATAATAATTGCTCACTTAGCATTGTAATAGTTATTTATTAGACTGGGGATTAGAAAAATGTACAAAACCGCATTAATTTAATTTAGAATTTTGCCTAAATATAACATCAGGTTAAAATTTTATATTTAATTATTTTTCTTGCCCCCTTTTTTTTTCTTTATTAAGGATGCTTAAAGAATAATTAATTACGCATCATTTAGCTTATTTTTAATGATTAAAATGAATTAATTTTGTATTATTTTCGAAAAACAGTGGATAATTATTCTAACAATTCATTACAACGCGCCAACACTCGACACAATATCTTTAAATATTAAAAATTGTTTTTTTTTTTTCAGTCTTCTTATGTGTTTATTATTATATATATATAACTAATTAACTGATTACTCATTATCTTATGCATAATATTTATATAATTAAGTTGGCCAATTGGAAGCTTCAACAGATTTTACAATTCCCATTTGGGGGTTCTAGATACTGAAGGATTGTCTCGTTTCTTGTCCAACTTTTAATACATAAAATATCGCTAGAGTATTTCTATCAAATTTTTAAGCTTTGCAAATTGCAATTAATTATATAAATAATATATATCAAGCAATATCTAATAAACAATGTCAATTGAAAACTTCAACAGAATGATTTTGCACTAATGTATGTTTCGTTGTGTTTCCATTGGAGATTTTCTTATTGTTTATCTAATTTTTGACACTTAAAATTGGAATAAAATATATNAGTGTTGGAGTTCTATTTTAATTAAGGGGGTTACCGAGAGAATGATATCGACTAGACATGTATTGTCTCCGTCCTCTTATTATTCAAATAGCTTTTAATGTTTTAATTTAATGAATCATTAACCAGGAAATTTAATATATTTTCACTGATATAATTTTAAAATAAATTATTATGATTTATTAAAGTTTTATTAAAAGATAATATATTTAAGAGGAAACAAATACATAAACCTTTCCTCCCATATTTTTTTTTTTCTTTCAAGATAAGATTGAATTGTAAATTATTTATACCTAAAGAATTAAATTATTATGTGTGATAATTACTTAACATTCATAGCTCTTTATTAAGCGATTATTGGCTATATAGGTTGGCCCAAAAGTCAGTCAACCACTTCAAGTCTAAATTTCTGTGTCTTATTTAAATACTTTTTAAAAGAATTATTTCTATTTCTTTACATATTATTCACAATTAAATTAAATTTCAAGGCAAAATTTTTAAAATAGAAACAAAATTTAAATAATACATTATATAATTAATTATCTATCAGAACTAATTAGAGTTTCAGATAAAAATTATGATACTCTAATTAAATTAATAAGTTTTATTTATAAATTATAATATGTGTAGCAGTTAATTATAAAGGAGACAATCACTCACCATTCTGATACAACTGTTCGTCATTCCAGTGAGGATTAATCCTCTGAAGGCTTTCCACCAATCTGTTATGTTCTCTCATAAATATTGTATGAGTTGCAGCCAAAGCTGGTTGTTCACTCGCTCTGTTATCGCCTTTATGTAATCAAACAAATTTAAACTCATTGAGTAAAATGATTGAAATGAAATTCACCAATCATTCTTTGTATTATCTTCCTAATTTCGATAATAAGTTTAGTGATTACTTGATTAGTAATTAGTAATATTTCTTTATTATAAAAGGAATGTTTTATTTCTTTATATATGTTCTATTAAAGCTACTATTATTATTAGATAATGTAAAGGTATTTTTAATTAAGAAAATGAACTTTTTCGTTGTTTAAAATAAGTAAAAAAAAAAAAATTCTTCATATATTCACCTGCTTCGAAGCAAAGACCGGAAGGAGCTCGACAGTCTTTATGATCATTTTTTTGGGGGAGAAGATCTTTACCACGCAAAGGATGACGGGTAACATTAAGTCTTCCTCCGATAAAAGAGCGTAACATTTTTGTATCGCACATATCGGAACCGTAAACGTTAGAAGCGTCTAAAAATGCAGTTACTTGGTTTAACTGTTCTCTTCTACCTATAGTTTATTATATATATATATATATAAACCATAAATAAAATGAATATACGATAAGGATACTTTTTTTTATAAGTAAAATAAATTTTACCTAATGTCAATTGCCCTCCTAAAGATCGTACGAAAGAAATACACGTGGGTCTTCTAGTAGTTTTATTAAAAGGGGGATAAAAAATGTCTCGTGGAGGTACCGGTATGGGAAGACATTCGGGATGAAGTGTTTTTGCAGAATCACATTCTTGACAGTCCAAAGCTCTCCCTCCAAACGCTGAAAGTTTAATTATATTAATAAAATAATAATAATAATAATAATTAAATAATTTAAATAAATCTAATAATAATAATAATAGTGCTACCATCTAGTGGTTAATATTTGTATTAATCAATATAGGTTTTTTTTTATTATTATTATTATTTTAAAATTTCAATAAGAGATGGCAGCACAATTTTAGGGGACATTCGAGATGATTGTTAAATTAATAATAAATACCCTCGTGCATTGGCGTAAACGTCAGATCGTGATCGACAAACTGCCCCCATTGCATTACCATAAGCGAATAACGTACATGAGGTGCACTTATATCGTAATGAATGGCAGTCGACACCGCTCTCGGACTGGGTAAAATTTTACCATTAACTCCACGACTTCTCGGTGTGCTCATATCTAATGAAAACAGAACGTATTGTAAGTTCTTTAACGACAATTACAAATTTATAATTTCAATATTCTCACCATCGTCGTATTGAGAAGGAAGAAGACGATTTAATATCCTCATACTCTTTCCGTATTCGGGATATTTAAGATTGTTGCACCAACCGGTTGTGGTCCTAAATCGGCTAGTATGGTCGCAAGGTAGTGTTTGTTCGTCGCAGTCAAATGTTTTTGGCAAATCTATAAAATCTGTGACGTCGACATTCGGAAGAGCAGCCATCAATTCTCTTATATTATTCATCGAACTTCCTCCTTCTCTGTCTCTCTGATCACTATTGGCATTCGAATCGATAAATTAATATAATTTACATTAATATCAACGATATGAAATATAATTAATTAATCGATAAAGTATAGAATTTATTCTAGAAGGATCCGGGTTCGATTTTTAATGCTAATTTTCATATAGAATTTATATAATAAAATTATATTTCCACATTCTATTATATAAAATTTGTATTCTAGAAAGGAATTATATAGGGGAGATCGGGGCAACTTCGGCATGCGGGGCAAGTTTGTCAAGCGCTTTTTTTAAAAAACAAATTAAAAGGAGACTTTGGTTATAGGTTAGGCAGTTGAGTTTTATTGGTGGCTTGTTGAGTGTAGTGTTTTTATTGTTCTCCAACAAGCGTAGTTGAATTATCAAGCAAATTTTCATTTTCGTTCAATTCCATATAATATTTTTTTTCCATTTATATTGAATTGGCAGGTTTTGTTATAATTCCATGATAATGAAAGTTACTTTTCCTGTTAGAAGGAAGTAACTTCAAATTATTCACGTGGCCAGATCGTGGCTTGGCATTCTGTTCTCAGGGTTGTACTTAATGTTTCGAAATCATGACTAGCGGGGTAAGATCGGCAACATAAAGCCACATTAGAAGCAAAGGATAAAAATCAAACAGATGATAAATGAAAACATGTTTGCATTTGTTATTCATGTATATATGTCTTTGAACTTGCATTTCGTTGTAATAATATTAAATGGGTGTTGGATTTGTATTTCTTTGTTTTAATAGTGAATTCCAACTTATACATTGTTAATAACATAATTTTATATACGTGCCTATCTTGCCCCATTACTGTTGCCCCTATACCAGGGGAAACTTTAATAAAAAGAATTAAAATAATTACAACTTTACAAAAAGAGAGAAGTTGCCGATCTTGCCCCTATACCCGGGGCAACTTCGTCAATTTCTCTCTTCTTGTAAAGTTGTAATTATTTTAATTATTTTTATTTCCCAACTGATTTTAACCAGTTCTATAGTAAGGTAACATTCCAATAGACAATATGCAAAGTTTTTTTTTCAGTTTACAACAGTATTTATTACACAAAATTTAAGTAAAGCTTAACATGCCGATCTTGCCCCGATCTCCCCTATATATACAGTATTGCCATATGGAATTTTTCTATGGAATTTATATCGCAGGAGTGAATTCCATACACGTTTACTATAGATTAATATTTATATTTTATTAGATAGAATCTATATTATAGAATTTCTTTTCCTTATATATATATTTTTTTTTTTGGAATTTGCATAATAGAAGTTTATACGAAAGAAGTGAAAAATACATAGGACATTTCTACCACAAAGAATTAATTTTTCGCTGTATTTTAATATTTAAAACAGTTTTTAAATATTAAAAGAAAGTGTAAATAAATATTATTTTAAAAAAAAATAAAAATTTATTCAAGTAAAAAGTAATTCATCCTTCCCGTATTTGTAACAAAATTACCATTTTTATGGATTATTTGAGAAGTAATAAAAAAAAGAAAACGAGTTCAAAAATGAACAAAAATGTAAGCTATTTACGATGGAATATATTTGCATGAATTTGTTGTTTTTCCATCATCACTATTTTAAAATAAAGTTTTATTATTGTTTTTATGAATAAAACACACAATGTAATATTCTGATCACACGCAATAAAGTTTATATAATAGGATATAGTCTAGAAAAATAATGTAAAAGTCAGTTCAACTATTTAGGTCAAGATTTCTTAAAGAGAATTCGAGTATCTTATATAGGATTTGGGGGAAGAATATTACGTTAAATCAAATGTAGTAGTAGTAGTAGATTGCAATGTAATATTTAAACTAAATATTACATTTAAGTCAATTTAAGAAACCAGAAGTTTAAGGGGATGGAGTCATTAAAACTATATCACGATGTGAAGGGAAGGAGAGGAAAGATGCATTTTCCACGTTGAATTTTTCTAGTGGCAAACGAATTTATTCTTATAAAACTACTCAATAGTCATGCGAATAAACTATGAGAAAATGTTTGCAGAACCTTGAGACATTTCGTTAATGTTAGAGGAGAGTGTAAAAACTACTGTATACGTAAGGGGAAGGAGGTTTTCCAAAAGCACAGTACACCATTGTACTGTAAACAACAGGAAAAAGGGAGTGAAAAGTGGCTGAAAAACTGTACAAGTGACTTAATTGTTTCCTGAAAACCGTCTTAGAACGAATCTAAAATAAACAGATAAATAATACAATAAACAATTTAATACCTGGAAAAGTAATTATTAGCGAATCCTTGAGATGCCAATTCTAAAACAACCGATTGATTAGAAATCAATCTGGCTTGACGTTTGGGTCGTAAAAATCCCAAATGAGCAGCTTGAGCACTTCCTTCAGCAGCAATACCTCTTTCTGAATTTTAAATATAGTTATATTTAACATTTAAAAAAGAAAAAATTCAAATTAAATTAATTTCAATAGGTATATTAATTAACTAACTGCTAGTAATAAGCCTTTCATTAGAGATCATATCCTCTACTTGTCTTTTGGCTCTCTTTAAAGAATCTTGTAGTAATGTTTCAGGCACAACAAACCGAGGAGATGCTAAAATAATAATAAGATGATTAATTAAGCTAATAATACCATATTTTAAGGAATTATCGCTTACCTGTTTTCCATTTATTTAGTTCTACAATAGGAATATTATCGGAGTTGCATGTTTCGTATGCATTTCTATATAAAAAAAGTAAGGAAATTAAAATACAGTAGATCCCCCTCCCCTATAACACTTTAGATAATTCCGTGTTATATGAATTCCATGTTGTACGAGTCACTTAGATTTTACTCTAAGTGACCCGCACAACATGGAATTCATATAACACGGAATTATCTAAAGTGTCATAGGGAGGTCTATTGTATTGTTTATTATATGAAAGTTTCTATTATTTTTATTTACAGAAATGGATCCGTTTGATAGAGAACTGATGGTTGCATTAAATTGATAGAATCGGCATTATCGCACAGAATTCGAGATAAAGTAACTTTGCGAATTTCCGTTAGTTGATCTGAAAAAAATAATGATAAATAATTACTTTTATTATTAATTTTTTGATAATGCATAAAGCCTGAAATGACTAACCTCTATTGAAAGAAGATGGCGGTATGTCATTTTCATACCAAAATCTATCTCCACGTCTTAAATAATGAAACTGACGACCTAAAAGACAAGCAAAAGTTGGACCAACTACTGCTCCATTTAAAGGAATTTCTGCTAATCCTCCAGTAAATATATCGATGTCGTGTACATTTCTATTAAATTTTATATAAATGTGAATACAGTTTTATGTATTAAAAATGTATAGTTTAATAAATAATAATGTTTATACTTATAAATTCTGCTTAATTTATCCACAGTTTCTAATGTCATCATTGATTTCAAGTCGGAAAAGTGATTAATAACAGGATCGAGTCGACAAAATTTTCTCCATTTTGTATATCCAGGAATACCGTGATCTCTGCCCTGTTGAATAATTATAGCTGCTAGATCTGTACCCAATCCTGAACCGATTAAAATAACAAATTAATACTTTCGTGAATTCCATGTACCTTAATTAAATTAAAAAGTCAAGGTTCTTTTTACCGGAACTAGGATCCAGAAACAGGTTATTTGTCATTTCGTTACTGATAAATTCATCACCAGCTTGAGCTTTCTGACTCACCAAACCTAATAAGTATTCATTTAACTTGTTAGGTGAATACATATCAGTTGGTTGAAAGTATGTTTGGCTCATTGGTTTCGTTCCTATTTTCTTAAATTCTTTTGTATACAAATCAAATTTTGAAGGCATCATAGAAAATAAAAAACCAAATACAGATGCTCCGATAACATTAGATATTCCAGGATTAATATTAATATCGTATCCTGTATAATAACCACTAGAATGAGTTTGAAGATCGTATTTATCCATAATGTTTTGACCAAGAAATGTTGGGAGTAATTCGTGATAAGTTATATGTTGTAACTGAAATTATTTAAAATTAAAAATATTTAAATAATTTTATAAAATAATTGTAAAATAGAATGTTATTAATCTTTATGATAATTACTTCTGCTCCAACTATTCTTCTTGCTTCTTCGAATAATTGATCATCGTCCCAATGTGGATTTAATGAAGCAAGTGTTCGTGCTATCCTATTATGTTCTCGAACCCAAATCGTATGCATTACTACAAGACCAGCATTCTCGTTAACACGAACATCACCTGAAATAATTAAAATAATGGTCTTATGAATTTAAGATAAGATTTTAGAAACACAGGTATTTAATAAATATACCAGTCGACCCCCCCTATAACACGGTTGATTAATTCCATGTTGTACGAGTCACTTAGATTTTACAAATACGTGTGCCGGGCTGTGAACAGCTCACGTATTTGTAAAATCTAAGTGACTCGTACAATATGGAATTCATATAAAACGGAAAAATCAACAGTGTTATAGGGGGTCGACTTGTATATGAATATTAGAAGCATTCGGGTATGTTTAAATGTTCGAAGACGTTACCATAATACAAGGGTTCTTTAAATTTTATTTTAATCACCCTCATATCTCAGTGCAAATAGATATAGAAATTTTTAGTTCTATTAATATTCCTAAAAGTTTGAAAATTCTGTGTGTACACTTTTTAAATTTAAAGCGGATGTAAGTAACCTTTACTATAAAATATAAGTTAAGTAATCTATGCCATTTATCAATTTAAGGAAATTTTCAAATAGCCAAAGGCATAACAATCAGGTAATCTACTACTACTTTATATTGCGTAGAAAAGGTTTCTTTATTTTCGAGGTCATGGTTCGTTAGAATTGATATCATAGACTTGTTGTTTCTTTTCATTTACGTTTTCTTTTAGTATTGACAGTTATTCGAGTAAGAATTTACTAGTCTACTTACGTACAAAGATATAGACTTGCATGAAAATACATGTAAACCGAGAAATACACGTTCATTTTTTGGAACGATTCAAGCGCAAATATCTTATTTTAAAAGCTTTTTCGTGGGTATTTTATTCTAAATACTTGTTATTTAAACAATAAAAAAAATACATTTATCATAATTTTAACTCTAGGATATTTTATTACGTTAATTTATATCAATATAAATTAATGATCTGTTATTATATTTGTGCAGTATATTGCAGAATTTGTGCAGAATTTGTGCAGTATATTAGACCAGAAAGCAAATTTATTTTCTATTCAAGGTTATAAAACTCATAAATATTGAGACTTGTTTTAATATTAATTTTTTTATTTATGTGATAAATATATTTAAGAAATAGTCACTGAATACCGACTACATCTAATAGGATATATCTTAAGAATAAATATTAATAAATGGAAAAAGAAAGTGAGGAATACTTAAAATTTGGCTCAATACATTGACCTGAGATTTGGTGTTAATTGGAATGAAGTGGAACACATCGCAATGGACTCTACAAGCTAGAGAACACATGTTGCCTTATATACCCAGTTACCTAGACTAAACTAAATATCAGAGACACCCAGAGGAGTGGGGCAAAATAAATTATCCTGGGACCTATTTCGTATGTGTACACAATGTATATATATTGTAGATAAAGAAATGAGCATAAAATTTAGGTTCAAAACACTTTTGAAAACATCTTATATATATATATTAATTTTTTCCACTTCTTCTTTCACTTTAACATAATAATTTACCACGTAACTTACAATAGAGACCTCAAATATAGCCTATACAAGTATTTTTCCTAGGCCTCCATTACCCTCTGGGCGGTCCTACTAAATATATATGTTTTATTTGAGTTTATTACTTTTAAATAAATAAATATCTGTATATTTGTTATATAGACTACATGACTATTCTAGTTTATTCTACCTTTGGATTCGGCATAGAGTGACTTTTTTGTAGCTTTTGTACCGAAGAAAATGTTCAATTTATCATACAATAAATGATATCATTTTAATATAAACAGTAACATGTTTGTAGAAGAGATTTAGATATAGCCTAAAGCAAAGTATTTATGTCCTATACCCTCGAATGATCAATAAAATATTGAAGATAAAAAAAAATGACGTAGAAATTTTTGAAAATGAATAAAAATATTTTAAAAATTTGAATATTAAAATTCTGATAAAATAATTATTATACATATCATATAATAAAATAATATACAAAATGATTTTTTTTAATAGTATTAATTCAAATTAAGGTATACTTTTCCCCATATGTTTCGAACTTAAAGTTGAATTGAACCTTAAATAGTAACAAAAATACTCCGAAAAATCTTTTATCACTGTTCAAATATCTTCATACAATGAAAATTTTATATTTCTAGGGCCTCCAATAGATCGAGAGGTCAGTCCACTTAAACATTTATTTTATATTCTCTGTTAATTATTAACGTTTAATAAATCTTTTCGACTATATTTCTTTTTAATTATAATCATATTTTTCTCCGAAAATTTTATTTTAAAAATCTGATTATGTCTTTAATTCAAAAACAATTACAGTAATTAGTAAAAACAATAGTAAAATAATGTGTTTTGTAACACAGTATATAAATAGACATTGATTTACTTTATATTTAAATATATTCTTTCACAATAAACCTATATTTTTATACGAATATTTTTGTAATAATAATTAAATTTTTACGAGAATTTTTTTTTAATCAATCTACCTTTAAGAGAAACAATATAAGTGCTTACCAGAAAGGAAACATCTACTTTTTCCAGAGCCTCTACAATCAAAATCATCAGTGTCTGCCGGAAGTAATTCTCTTCCTCCTTTTATTTTTTGAGTTTTCAACTGTCCACCTCGAAAAGTTCTCAATTTATTAGCTTCTTCGATCGACGAACCGTATATGACGGAACCGTCTAAGAAAGACGTTACTTGATTAATTTGTTCCCTTGGTCCAAGAGTGCAACCTATTCTCGGAGCTGTACAAGATCGAATATACTCTAAACAGTTACGTCCTCTTCTTCCAAATATTGGATCTTTTTCTGGAACCGTAATTGGATAACATTCCGGATGTAATTGGGATTGATCAACTCCACAACATTTAATTCTATGACCTTGAAATCCTACAATTTAGAAAGTTTTTATTAAATTCTTTTTTTCTTTTATTTAATCTAATATTTGTAGTATATTTTCTCAATTTAATTAATCTTTAATTAAAGGCTCCACGAACAAAAAAAAAAAAAAACATCTGTGTTACTCCCTTGAAGGATTAAAACTGATGCTGGCACGAATACCGTGCGTATTCTTATCTCTTACTTTCCTAATCATCATTATTTAAACTTGTAAAAAAATAATTTAAACGTTTTTATTGGTCATGTTTTTATTTGGGGGGGACTGGGTATGGAGGGTGAGGTCATGTCCACCATATACATCACTGTATTGAACAATGATGTATATGGCGTGTGTTTTATCATGATGTATGTATGTATTTATGTATAGTCGACCCCCCCTATAACACTGTTGATTATTCCGTTTTATATGAATTCCATGTTGTACGAGTCACTTAGATTTTACAAATACGTGTGCCGGGATGTGAACGGCTCACGTATTTGTAAAATCTAAGTGACTCGTACAACATGGAATTCATATAAAACGGAATAATCAACAGTGTTATAGGGGGGGTCGACTATACATAAATACATACATACATCATGATAAAACACACGCCATATACATCATTGTTCAATACAGTGATGTATATGGTGGACATGACCTCACCCTCCATACCCAGTCCCCCCCAAATAAAAACATGACCAATAAAAACGTTTAAATTATTTTTTTACAAGTTTAAATAATGATGATTAGGAAAGTAAGAGATAAGAATACGCACGGTATTCGTGCCAGCATCAGTTTTAATCCTTCAAGGGAGTAACACAGATGTTTTTTTTTTTTTTTTTCGTGGAGCCTTTAATTAAAGATTAATTAAATTGAGAAAATATACTACAAATATTAGATTAAATAAAAGAAAAAAAGAATTTAATAAAAACTTTCTAAATTGTAGGATTTCAAGGTCATAGAATTAAATGTTGTGGAGTTGATCAATCCCAATTACATCCGGAATGTTATCCAATTACGGTTCCAGAAAAAGATCCAATATTTGGAAGAAGAGGACGTAACTGTTTAGAGTATATTCGATCTTGTACAGCTCCGAGAATAGGTTGCACTCTTGGACCAAGGGAACAAATTAATCAAGTAACGTCTTTCTTAGACGGTTCCGTCATATACGGTTCGTCGATCGAAGAAGCTAATAAATTGAGAACTTTTCGAGGTGGACAGTTGAAAACTCAAAAAATAAAAGGAGGAAGAGAATTACTTCCGGCAGACACTGATGATTTTGATTGTAGAGGCTCTGGAAAAAGTAGATGTTTCCTTTCTGGTAAGCACTTTTATTNATGGATTTTAAAAAAAATGAAAATAAAAAAAAAAGTTTTTGTTTTAAAGTAAATATAAACAGAAAAGATATTGCATTCCTTTAAAAGGACTTTTATATAGCCATGAAATTTTTAAAGCGAAGAAAAGTGACCCTTACAACGACACTAAAAATATATCAGTCACGACAGGTATAGGCCTATATACGTTCTTTTTTTTTTTTCCTTTAAAGATAACATCTTTCAGGAAGTTTTCTACCTGCAATACTCTTAACAATATTTAATAACACACAATCTATTGTGCTCAGAATAATATATCAAATGTTTAAAACACATTGTTCATCATTTTAGTTTTTTTTTTTTTTTTACTTTAAAATAATATAAAGCTTATATTCACTGTATAAAAGTAACATATAGTAAAATATATAATGTATTAAAATTAATTATTTTAAGTTATTTATATTGATATACAGTAAATATATAGAACTACTATAATATAGCTTTTATATATAGGCCTATATAAAGGAATTTATCATAAAAATTAATATGAAAATTTTATATTTTAAAATCTATTGTGTGAATGTCACTATCCTTGTTAAATATTACTTGGTATTGTTTATTTTTTTTAATGTTTAAGACATTTTTATTTTTTTTGTATTTCTTTGAAAGCTTTTAGTCTTTATTTATGATGAGTGATGTACTGTACACTCTCCATAAGTACATCGATTTGTATTGCAAACTTGTTTCTATATTATTCTACCCTAAAGTTCGAGCAGTAACGTTTTGCATCAGAATTACCCAATAAACATAATTATTGAATGTAAGAGCCAAATATAATATAGGCCTATAAGATACGATTGATTATTTATATTAGCATTTAATTATTGTACTTCCTAATTAAGAATAAATAAATAAATAAACATTTATAATAAAGTTATAATTTAATCTTTATTCCATTCAAGTTTGTATGGATGTGTGTGTGTGTAGGGGGGAGCATGATTTTGTTCACCCTCTTTGATTAATACAGTTGCATATTACTGTATTAATATGCAATTATTGATTGATATAAACTTTAAAAAATAGAAAGTTCCGGCTTTCTGGTCACGATTTTTCTATTATAAACTGCTTATTACTTTATTTAAGAATATTTATTTTTAAATTATGTAATACACGCGAGAGACTTTATAGACTTATAAAAGAATGAAGTAACTTCCTAACCGAATAGCAGCAGTACAATGTAAGTTACGTAAAAATGCATATAATTAAACAATAAAATGACTTAGAAGCAAAGATTTATTACATTCATTGTAAGAAATAATTGCTAAATAATTTACTGAATAGCTGTTTTAGCAATTAAGAGTTTAATAACTCGAAGTATAAAGTCATAAACAATTGATCTATTAAAAGTTTTTTTATAGAGTAATGACTTTCTTAAATTTCTCACCTGCAGATTGAGCTGTATGTGCCAAATCGTGGAAAATAAATTCGCCGAATATAGCAAGAATAGTGGTGACGTGTTGATGCGGTTTATCCGAATCACTATGAATAGAGTGACTTACAGCACGTGCGCTGGGTAAAACATCACCCGTTGTAGCACCTCGAGGTGTGCTTACTCCTAAAAAAATATATATATATATTTAAAGATTTAAAATATAAATCTAATTAAACGAAATGTATAATTAAATGTTTTACCATCGGTGTAATCGGGTGCTAGAAATCGAATATATTTGATATTGGCATTTCCCCAGGTCGGATTTTGAACATTGTTACAATAGCCACTGAAAGCTCTGTATTTTCTCGGTTGACACGGGAAATCAACTTCTAAAGGGCAAGAGCTACTAAGGTAGGTATCGCGAATATCTACTGTTGGAAGACCATAAGCAATTTGGTTTTTACTGAGTCGATATCTGCAATGAAAAATGTGTAAATTCTGTTTAAAAAAAGTAATTTAATCAAAAAAATTTTGAGTAATTATATAACAGCTTTATACAGGGTGATAAAATAACGTTTAGCATTTATATGGCACCGTATAAAGCTAGAAAAAAACTTGGTAAATATGGGACGAAAACTCAATCGTTTCTGAGATATTAACAATTTTGTATGTTGGTATCGTAACTGAGGTATTGGCTTCCATACGACGTGAAAAGTGAAGATAATCTTACCGAAATTTTACCTCGATATTTACAGGTATTTCACGTGTCCTCCCTCCTCTCATTTCCACGCACGCTTGGCATCTTAGAGTCGCCAACTCTCTCCATGTCTTTGTCGGATTATTTATCTCAGAAACGGTTGAGTTTTCGACCTATGTTTACTAAGGCTTTTTACTCACAAATCAGTATGTTGTGTACTATCTACCATACAAATGCAGAAGTTTTTTTTAACACACTGTATTTTTGACCAGTAAAGATCTTCAAAATTTATATACTCGTATATCATCAAAATTATCAAAATAATAATATATAATATAATAAAATATCTAACAGTGTTTCCTAAAGTAAGTGTATAATTTTTTAACCTTTACCAAGACATTTTATTATTATTATTTACTAGGATATTCAACTGAATTTATACTTTTTAAAATGAATAACTATATTAAAATAAATCACTAAATGAATTTTCTTACGTTTGGGATATTATTTTAGTGGCTTCTTCTGCAACTATAGCATTACGTGAATAATTTTTTGCTGCGATCTTAGTTTTTGCAGAGGCAGATGCAAACCATTCTGGTGTTCCCGGTCTCTGTATCGCACCTATTTGAAAAAAAAATCATTTCGTAAAACAGATTTAAATATTTAAATTATAATTAAAAATCTACATACCACTTTTATAAATTGCAGGCTCTATATTTTCCATTCTAAGATCGACTTTACGAACTGCTTCGTCTATGTATTTTTTCAGATCTTCCGTACTGAATCTTGGCATTAATACTTTTGGCCCTTCTGGTATTGGATCTATTTCTTTTGCAGGTTTTAGATGTTGAGTAATTCTCGTCAATTGACGTTTGTGTAATCTCAGTCCTCGAGTTACTCGTGAAACAATTCTGTGTTTGCTCGTACCGAGAATGGGAACATCTACTATCTCCATAGATGCAATACATTGGCATAAATATAGCAAAAGACACAGAATTGCTGTCCAGCAGCATCTATATAAACAGTAAAAAAAACAATGAACTGAAGGTTTATTAAGGTTTAAATAGTAGGAATCTCAAAAAAGGTAAATGGCTCGTAGTTTAATTACGGAAGTTTTGCTATAGTTAATTATCTACAGGGCTTTTCTGGATCTCAGAGGTCGAGAGAGAGAGAGAGAGAATCCATAATATAAATTATAAGTAAATTAGTGTTTATTTTATAATTATCTTTAATAAAACACAATGTTTGTTTTTCTAACTCTGTATATTAAACTTTAAGTATACAGTAATATACAATATGTACTGTACATTGTGTGAGAGGAAAAAGATGTAACTTATTTCTATAATTAGTATAATATATAAATATATTAAATCATATAAATAATAATAATTGAGCAATAATAATACATTACAGTAATTTTAAAATTATTTTTAAACGACTGATTAATGTGGGTTTTTACACAAAAGTTCATTCATTCGTTGACGTCATTTTGTGACCTACACTCCTATCGTCATTGTTATTGAGGTCAAAACTTATAATCGATCTCGTGTAGATTCTTATGATATATATATATATATATATTTAAATTCAAACTTTTATATGATTTAGATAGAATATTCCTTTTTAGAATCATATGACAAAAATCAATATTTGAATAACACGTTACCACTACTCTACGTGTTTGGGTGTCAAGTGGCGGCCATAGAAGGTCATTGCCTTTGTCGCCTACACACGAGCCAGACATTGACTTTAGTTGATTCTATCATTTATCCCATTGATGGTCTTCGATCTACTTACTTGTATGACACCATCCACCATAGATTTTGTCAAATACAAATCTAATTTTTGTATAAATGAATCTTCTCGTTATAAAATTTCATGTATTGTAATTTATCACGAAAGTAATCTATATATATATTTTGTCTATTTATATATATTAAAAATTCAATTATATATAATAATAATAAGAAAACCTGACTAAAATATATTGAATTTACTTTTATATGATGAATCAAATATTTCCATACAAAGGCAAAGAATTTGCTTTATGATGTAATTACTGTATATAAGTCACAGCGTGAGTACAATTTAACTAAATGCTTATACAAATACACGTTAACACGTGGTCTGTGTTTTGTATGGGACTTTTGATTCACACTATACTAAATTTACTAGACTATTATTTACTATTGTTTCAATTAAACAAAAAAGAAAAAAAAATGTTTATTTGCAACACAAATAACCATTTAATTGATAAGAAAAATCATAAAAGGCATTCGGCAAGTGTCTTGCATGGCCTTAAAAATGTAAATAATCCAAGCCTTTTTCGATCTCTGAGAGGCCAAAAAAATACAATAAAATTTTATAAACAAAAATTCGACATAATAAAAGACCGTATAAGATAGAAAAATACATATTATACATTAAGAAGACAGGAACTAATAATTAAGAATTGTAAATTATTTATTTATTTCCAACCTAGTCTATGATCAAAACAAAACAAGCGAAAGAGGTCATTCGGTAGTGTGTATATTATTTAATAAAGAAGAAAAAAAAACAATAGAGAAAGTAAAGGGACAATATCTGTAAAGGAAAGAAAACGTTCCACGCTGTTTAACCTGCTTGAATAAATCTGATAAGCTAAGCATATTTTTTAAAAAATAAATTAGCTGATTTGCTATCACAATAAACATTATTCTGATATAAGAGAATTTAATTAATAAGATATTTTATCTGGAATAACTTGGAACGTAAACGTTTTTTTTTCGGATCCAACCGTAAGACACCTTATAGAAGAATCATGTAAGCAAAACTAATTTGGGTCAGTATTTATACACAAAAGTTTGTCATGTGCTTGGTCTGATGACCGGAACGTAAAAATAACGAAGGTAGGCAAGACGCCCGATGCCTCACGGGAGAACCCCGCAAAAAAAAAAACANAAGACACCTTATAGAAGAATCATGTAAGCAAAACTAATTTGGGTCAGTATTTATACACAAAAGTTTGTCATGTGCTTGGTCTGATGACCGGAACGTAAAAATAACGAAGGTAGGCAAGACGCCCGATGCCTCACGGGAGAACCCCGCAAAAAAAAAAAACAAAAAAATGAGGTCAAGAGGTCAAAATTTATATAGTCTTTTACTTATATTTCTCTGAAAGATTTTTAAAGATAATTAATTCTTATGTAACTAATAACAATACAAAATTGAAATTTTACATGAAATTAATTTAATTTCATATTAAATTTTCAATTAGATATGCTTATTTATTTCGAACAATAGAGCTATGTATTTTTTCAGATCTTCCGTACTGAATCTTGGCATTAATACTTTTGGCCCTTCTGGTATTGGATCTATTTCTTTTGCAGGTTTTAGATGTTGAGTAATTCTCGTCAATTGACGTTTGTGTAATCTCAGTCCTCGAGTTACTCGTGAAACAATTCTGTGTTTGCTCGTACCGAGAATGGGAACATCTACTATCTCCATAGATGCAATACATTGGCATAAATATAGCAAAAGACACAGAATTGCTGTCCAGCAGCATCTATATAAACAGTAAAAAAAACAATGAACTGAAGGTTTATTAAGGTTTAAATAGTAGGAATCTCAAAAAAGGTAAATGGCTCGTAGTTTAATTACGGAAGTTTTGCTATAGTTAATTATCTACAGGGCTTTTCTGGATCTCAGAGGTCGAGAGAGAGAGAGAGAGAATCCATAATATAAATTATAAGTAAATTAGTGTTTATTTTATAATTATCTTTAATAAAACACAATGTTTGTTTTTCTAACTCTGTATATTAAACTTTAAGTATACAGTAATATACAATATGTACTGTACATTGTGTGAGAGGAAAAAGATGTAACTTATTTCTATAATTAGTATAATATATAAATATATTAAATCATATAAATAATAATAATTGAGCAATAATAATACATTACAGTAATTTTAAAATTATTTTTAAACGACTGATTAATGTGGGTTTTTACACAAAAGTTCATTCATTCGTTGACGTCATTTTGTGACCTACACTCCTATCGTCATTGTTATTGAGGTCAAAACTTATAATCGATCTCGTGTAGATTCTTATGATATATATATATATATATATATTATATATGTA